TGGCCACTCAAGCGCCACCGCAACAGCTCCACCGCCACCCCAAAGATCCTACCGCGTCCTCCAAAGGTTTCATTGTTCAAGCTCGGTGAGCTCTAACCGCAGCACCGCCTCGCGGAGCTCCTCCGCCACCTCCGTCGCCGTGGTCCCACCTAACGAGACCACCCCATGCCACGCTTGAGCGCAAGAATAGGCCAACCATAGCTCGTAGATGCTCGTCCGAGCTTGTGTTTGCGTCACCGTAGCTTTCACCGACGCGTCGCTGTCCCCGCCTCGCCGCTCCGCCATTTCCGCCGCCGTCCTCCTCACCGTCGACAATAGGGCCGGCCAAGTGGCTCAATAGATGCGCTTAGGTCACGAGATCACTTCGTGAAGACCTCACTGCTGCAACTCGCCGTCGGCGAAGCTCTGGCAGCGCCAACACTGCTAGCAGCCTTGTTGCTCGCTTCGAGTCAATGACAGTGGGGTCCCACCTGTCAGCGACAGAAGTAGTGTAGGCTAACTCATTTTGAATCCAGTTTTTGAATTGTTTTGTTATTTTTGTATCTTTAGTTTGGTAGCTCCTAAAATGGTGAAATAAATATGATTGTGTTGCTTAGGAAGTGTAGTATTTTGGAAAAATATGTTCTTGGTTTCAACAGTAGAAATTTCTGGAGATTTAAATAGGGATTTGAAATGTGCTTTTGAATGCATTCAAATTTGTTTATTTTATATCTAGAGTTCCTGTGCTCCAAAAATTATGAAATTTTTGTGGTGAACTAATCTTAGCATATGTGAGCCCTGGTAAAAATTTGAGGACCAGTGCATGGGTAGATTTAAAGTTATAGATTTTTCTTTTATGACTAGTTAATCCTTGCATGAATTTTCATAAATTAAGTATGAGTCCAAAATTCATGAAATTTGTTGGAGGTGATACTAGTACCATATGGATGCTAAGAAAAATATAAAATCTGTTGTTTGACACTTTTCAATAGGATTTTCCATTTATGCTAATTCAAGCCTTGCTGCCTTGTCATTTTTGTATAGAATGTTCTACTTGGTAAAATGACATGAAATTTTTACAGTAGTCTCTTGATAGCATTAGTAAAGCTCTGTAAATTTTTGAGAATTTATTAAGCACATCTGATATATATTTATTATTTAACCTAGATATCTAAATAAAATAATAAAGGCAATTTAATAAATAGTTTGGGCTTTACCATTATATCATCTTAACTGTATTTGGTATGCTTAAACTATTGGTAGGTTCTAGGTTGTCAAATTTTGAATGATTACCTGAAGGAGAAGTATTCTTACTTTATGTTGCATGTTAAGTCATTTCCGGACTGATTCTAGAGTGTGAGGATTTGCATGTTGAAACTGATGTGTACTGTAAAAATGGTTAATAACAAAGTTGTAGAGAATTGGATAAGCTTTCCAGAAAGTCCTAGATCACTAGATTTGGATTTGTAGAACTCCAGTTATGAGCGAAACAAGTAGATACTGTTTATGGCATAGTCGATGCTTTGTAGAAGTAGTTAAGTAGTAAGCGAGAAGAGATATGCACCTACTCAAACAACGTGATGCACTTGTTAACATATATGCATTCGTAATACTTATACCATACTCATGCATCTAGGATCGGAGGAAGAGATCACGTTGCTGGAATTCAAGAAGGTTGAGGAAGGGAACCCGCAGGAGGATCCGCAAGCCGTAGCTCCCGAAGGCGTGGAGCGTAACCTCAAGAGCTTCCGAGTGCCCCGACCACCGCCCCACTTCCTTTCTCATGAGGCAAGCCCCGGAGCATTATAAGTCTCCCAGTAATTTACAAATGTTTACTTACGTATTTATGATTGATGCATTAGGTTATAAGAGTTGAATGAAACCACTTGATGCATGTACATTCCTTGTCCAGATATTACACCTTTAACCGGTATAGGTCCAGGATCGAATATATATATGCTTAGCCATGCTTAGACCGGTAGAAGTCGGGTGATGTCCTCGTCACCGCGAGATATAGGTGGATACCGAGCACGGTTGGCTATATCTCGCTATCGTGGAACAGAACCATGAGGTAAAAGTAAATTGAGACCGGACGGGAGATCGATAGGGAAGCAACAAGGCATGGAGGTCTTGGGTGTGGACTTATCCCCGTCAGGTCGATTAAGGACCATACCGTTGTTGGCGCTTCTCGACAAGATTGAACGCATGCCTCTCACTTAGCTGGCCGGATAATTCGTTCCGACCGCTGGTGTAGTAATTCAACTCAGGCCGGAATCGTTTCACAGCGCCTTCCGGGAACGATCGACCGAGCCCAAGGGCAGGTTTGGCTCGAGCATCCCGGCATCCGGTGTTCCAGACAGCGGCGTGTACGAACCCGCGAAATGTGTACCGAAGTTGTACCAAAGGTGACCTAAGACTATCGTGGTACCGGTAGATCTGGGTTTGTGTTAGGAATAAATTTCAAATTGGTTGAAATCGATTCGAATCGCCGCTCTCCCGGATAGTGAGAAACTTGGCTAGTCCCAACATCGTAGCAAAGCTATATTATGAAACATGGTGGTTCAGATGAATATGGAATTACAATACCGCTATGGTTACTATTGTATGCTTCTAAATGATATCCCACATGTTTGGCACGTGATAGTTGCTAATCTAGAAATGGATAGTTATAATTAACTTGATAAAGGAATCATAATTGTACAACGGATCAATTGCCTTTTTCGCAAAATGTTGTCAAGTTACGCCCACTTATACAAGCCTTGCATACCTTTGAGTCATTTTATTTCTGGTTCATGACGGTAAGTCTAGTCGAGTACCTTCTCGTACTCGTGGTTTATTTTCCCAATGTTGCGAGATGGCAATCGTGTATCATGGTTATTGCAAGAGTTGCTTCTATCCCGCTTATGGATGAGGAGTAAGCCTTGGGCAGGCTTCCTTAGAAATTCCTATCTTTGCTTTTGTGGATCGTGATCTCGCATGGCACTGTATCAAACTATGTTGGAAACTTATCTTCGAACTTATTTGCTTCCGCTTTAATTATCAAACTCGGTTTGTAATAACTTTTTATTCAGACTCGATGATGAAAAGTATCTCGTGAACTTTATGTAATATGTGGCATGTATGTTGAATCGCATACGATCTTGGTTGTTGTAAATCGTTTATCGAGACCCGTCGTGGTACTCGACGGACTACTGGTTTATATGGGTTCAAGTATGACAGTGCGACCGCTTGCGGATTGCCATTGTACTTGTATTCTTATAAATTGGTCGGTTCTCATGACAGGGGAGGACGTAGGGAGGCCGGCACGGGACCGTGGGAGAGGGAGGCAGGCTGCGCCGGGCATCATGGGGGAGGACGGGCTTGGCTACTGGGAGGCGGCATGGGTGGTGGTGGAGGTGGTGGCATGGATGGAGGCGGAGGCATGGGTGGCGGTGCAGGTGGTGGCATGGGTGGTGGTGGCGGAGCAGGAGGTGGCCTTGGTGGTGGTGGCGGAGTAGGCAGAGGAGGCGGGCTTGGTGGTGGCGGTGGTGGTGCGGCGGAGCAGGAGGTGGCCTTGGTGGTGGTGGCGGCGGCGGAGCAGGAGGAGGTGGTGGCGGTCGGTGGCTGGTGCTTTTTTTTTTCAAAAAATGTTTGCCGAGTGTTTTTTGGGCCGAGTGCCCGACAAAAAACACTCGGCAAAACAGCGTTTGCCGTTAAACCGTTTGTCAAGTGTCGTTTGCCGAGTGTAACACTCGGCAAACGGTTTTGCCGAGTGTTTTGGGGGCTTTGCCGAGTGGCACTCGGCAAAGCTCCTGTATCCCTTAGTGCCCCATAGATCCTTTTCGCCCCAGCCTTCCCCACGCTTGTCGTGACGCACGCCGACGCACGAGCCCCCCACACACACACACCTGTAGATCGAGATATCTCGCACACTCGTTGACCCCCGCCGCCAATCGATCCATACTCACATCGCCGGGAGCCCGACGATGACCTAATTGTTCTTGCCACGTCAATGCATGGAGGACGACTTGGATTGAGATGGGATTCCTGCTGAATCAGGGATTCATCTCTTTTAGAGACTGCAAATTCACTAAGCGCTATGGAGTGAGATTGTTGCATGACATGCAAACATGCATCTGCACCTAAGCGCCTAGCCACCTAGTGAGACGGTGGAGAAATGGTGGACTACGCCAAATGCTCCCTGGTCATCTTGAAAGGAATGCCAGGGTGTTTGAACATGCATAATGTACAAACTTCAGAGCGCTATAGAAAATAAAAGATGAGGCGAGGCTGTGGATTATGGCAGGATCAAACCACCTCTCTTGTTGTGCGCATCATCACCCTCTCTCTGACTGTTAGCTCGCCCTTTACAATTCTTTTTCTTTGTTGTTGCACCTTAGAGGTGTTGTTGTTGGTTTCTAGAGTTGTATCGTGTCCTTTTGGTTTCCCTTCTTTTTAATACAACGGATAATCCTAAATGTGAGCTAATTATGGGCTAATAAGAGCTAATGAGAGCTAATTGGTTTAGAGTCCATTAGCCCTTATTAGCCCATAATTAACTCATGTTTAATCCATTCTCACAAGGTGAGCTAATTTTTAGCCCTGGATCCAGACAGGCCAATAGTCAGGTCAGCACATTTCCCAGTTTGAATGTTTGATACTGCCGATAGCCTCGTCCTAAGTTTTGGAGCCCGCGCCTAGAGGCCGAGACGGCCGCCATGCGGTGTACCGTGTTGGGTTGTTCCGCTCGCCTCCCCCCAGCCCCACTGACACGTGGGGATGTACTGCAAATTTTGTGGACTCGTAAGCGCAGGTCGGACTCAGCTCGTTATTTCACTCGAACTCGAACCGTGGAACGCACGCGTGAGTCGAGTCCGATCTGTCGCGTCGCTCGCTGCATATAAACACCACACCCATGCCGTCTCTGCTAGCAACGAAACTCGTCGCACCACTCCCTCGTGTCCGTCGTCTCTCCACGTCGATCTCTCTCGCGCGGCTCTCACCGAGATCAATCCGTCAGCAGCAGGCAGGCAGCACTAGCGATGGGGAAGAGGAAGTCGAGGACCTCCAAGCTGATGGCGGAGCCCAAGAAGAAGCCGAAGCTGGACACGGACTTCACCTGCCCCTTCTGCAACCATCCGGGTGCCGTCCAGTGCGACATCTTCTTTAAAGCACGCCGTCCGTTCGCCGTGGCGTCGTGCAGCGTCTGCAAGGAGACCTATGCCACCAAGGCCAACGCACTGACGGAGCCCATCGACGTCTACAGCGAGTGGATCGACTCCTGCGAGGAAGCCAACGAGGGCGTCGTCGTCCGCCGGCCGCGCTTGGGGGAAGCTAGGAACTAGAGGAGAAGACGATGATCTTGCTGAATCTGGGTTGAAGACTTTGTAGTTGTAGTTTCATGCATATGTGTTGTAGTTTTTACTGTTCTACCGGAGCCCGGAATTGCATTACCGGCCAGGAAGGAAGGATTCAGACATGTAACTGTTTTGACATGTTACATGAAGTTGTGGATTAGATTATTCCACCTAAATTGCAGAGAAAGAGAACACGAATTGTTATGACATGCTACTTTGGTTCATGTCGTTTTTTTTTGTTACTGTATTACCCAAACTCGGTTGACATGCACAGTGCAAATTTGTAGCCTAAGTGATGAGGTACAACCATAATGTCAGCTCGGTTTGTATTTATACAAAATAGAAAACACAGAAAAACACCTACAAACTAAACCTGCGACTGAACAGAGAAGCATAAAAACTCTGACGGGAATCCGACAATAGCATCTGACAGGGAGGTTGGGGAATGACTGAACAAGGGACTCCAAACACAGAATGGGATGAAAGAACTAGTCCACACTCCACACCTCAACTAGCGAGGCGGCAAGCCAGCAATCGCATACTGACATTAATATGATTATTAGTGATTGGTTGATTAAAGGGGAAATGTTTAATGCAAAATGATTTTTAATCTCTAGAATCACTTATATAGAGTACAATGATAATTTTAAATACTTGAATGCACTATGGTGGAGCACCGGCGGGGAGTATCCGTATTTGCAGGTGGGCGCAAGGAAGGAAGGGAAGGGAAGGGAAGGGAGGGTAGGCGTGGCATAACCAGGGCAAGTCCACCTGACAAGGACAGGAAAGCACACGACTCCTTCCCAATTCCAACACGGGCAGCGGGCGGCGCGGCGGGCAGGGCAGCGGTTTTTTCTTTTCTTTTCATTCCCCCACCCCACTCCCCCATCCCCTCCTTCCTCTTCCCCTCTCTTCGGTTCTTCCCCTTCCCCTCCCGTCCAGTTGTTGCGAAAATCGATGCCACGAAGAAACCCATTCCAACTTCCAAGTAACCCGTTCACGGAATCAAGGCGAGGGGTTCCAACTTCCAAGGAGAAAGGATAGCGAACTCACCACAGCCGGACGTGGAAGGGGTGGCAGCCCCGGTCCCAGTTGGAAGCTACGGACCGTCCAGTGCATCATCGTGGTCCACCTGCCTTCGTTGGTATCGACGGTGACGGCGGTGTGCCAGAAGCGGAACCTGCCGTTGGCGCGGAGGTTGCGGTTGAAGTCGTGGCCCCTTCGTAGTCGCGTCGTCGACCATCCTGAAGGGCCTCCACATGAGGGCGCCCGCGTCGGCCCCTTCGTAGTCGCGCTGGACGGCGCGGTTGCCGCGAACTCAATTGGGCCATTGGGCGTGGCGATTGGGGAGAGCGAGACCCATCGTGGCGGCATCACGAGCCCGGGCGTCAGGATCAGCAAGGTGGGCTACTTCACCCGGCCCGGCGGCCGCACGCGCTCACCAAGCTCACCGGCGTCTACCACGAGTGGGTCCGCTGGTGTGAGCAAAGGAACGAGGGTTTCGTCGGGCGCCGGCGTGCTGGGGCTACGGCGACGCCACCAACGGCTAAGACGGTTGACGATGTCATCGACTCATCTTGTGTCCTGTGCTCGTGTCACGTACAATTCCGTTTCCATCTTTTAGGGAGTAGACGCTCTGTCACCACAGCTCTTCTCACCCTTCTTCCGTCACAAGCTTATAAATATGCGTTGGCTATTGGCCATGTTCGGCTTACCTCATATTCGGTATGTCCGACTTCTTTTTTCAGCCGGAACAGTGTTTTTCTCTCACAGCATTTCAACCAGAACAGTGTTTTTCAGCCAATTTCAGCCAAGATTTAGCAAGCCGAACGAGGCCTTATCAATGGCGCAGTGGCGCACTTCCTCATCTCAAAAGAATTTAAAACACATTAGGTAGTAACTACAACCAGTGTTACTGTGCAAATTTGTTAACGCATTATTCCAGCTTCATGCTTTCACCTATCTGCAAGTTCTGAAACTAAAAGGCCAGTTCAAACCGCCTCCAGACAGTAAATATTTTGAATCAAATGGGAAGGGTATTTCCAGTGTTTCAACCCTTCATGCTAAATCAGGAGTAGTTCAATACGGAGTAGTATATCCACCGTCTATGAGTGTTTGACTAAGGCGTCGACCTGTGATCTGTGTTGCAAACTTTCTCCTCTTTTTTTTTTGGAAAAAAACTGTGTTGCAAACTTTGCGATTGTTATTTCTTGTGGCGTCCCATGCAGCGGCCTGTTCGCTTACTCGTATACGATCGTGGATTATAAGCTGAAACAATATTTTTCTCTCATACCAAACCAGCTAGCAGTAAATAATTCATGATTGTTTACGGCCTGCCAAACAGGCTGATGATAGTTTTTACCATTTTGCTGGAGCTAGGGAAGAACACGGCGACGTGGTCTTGTGTGACGCTTGATCGCCCGTATGGCCGTATCCCAGTGACTTCGATTGAATCAGGCGTGGAGATCGTCGCCGAGTTGGGCCGTTCCTTGTTTAGCATTTCAGCAGACTGTAGATCAATGGAGTAGCAATGCAATCTTGTATTAATTGGAGGAAGCAATGTGTTATTTTATTTCAGCCCCTGTGTAGTTGACCGACACGGCTAAGTTTTTTTTTTTTTGAGGAGTCGTGTTTTTGATTTATGAGTGAATTTATTGTCTTTGATTCTTGCCTCTGTTGCTACAGTAAACCTATTTTTTCTGCTGTTCGAGCACCTCTTGCAGTTTATACCTTCCCCTATCCTCATAAAACTGTTATGTTGAGGACAGCTATATTTTTTTCTTGCTCCAGCAATTCCCCAATACCTCTTCTTTTTTTTTTGCCACCAATATTTCCCTCATCTCCCCTCAAAGAAAGGGGAGATACACCTCCCTTAATATCATGGAGACCATCCCAACTACCACTTTTCAACCATATTTTCTCTTATACTCCTGTGAGACCCACCTTCCATATGGGTATTGAAGGAGATATATTAGGGTACTGCTGCAGCAACTCTCTCAATATTGACAAAAGATAATATCGGGCTACCTCAATACATGTATATTTGGTAAATATTATTAGGAACTGCTAGAGATGCTCGTACAAAGTTGCACGATACTTGATCGAATCAAAGTTCTCCTTAAAGGGGCAATGCTACCTCAAACAAATCTAAGGCATCCGGTTTTTATATTTTTTTAAATTAATTAATTAACATAGTAGAAAAAGAAAAAAAGATAATTATTCCTAAATCTTCTCATCACGGGGAATATATCTCTACAACTAAAATATTCATAAGAGAATCGTTGATAGGCGTGCGAAACAAATCAGCGCTCGCCCCCGCTCCCTTCGTGCGAAACAAAACCTTGACCGCTCGCTCGAATGACCGCCTGGCTTCGCAGGCTCCCTCGCCGTCTCGCACGCGAGACCGCCCCGCGCTCCCCTCGGCCAGTCGCTCGCTCCCGTGTCATCCAGCGAAAAAGGAGAGCCCTCAATCACAGCAATCCACAATCCCATTCCGCGCACTCCAGAACCTTCCTTCCCATGCCGCAATATCTCCTCCCCTCCGGTAGCTAGAGGTCGCGCCGCCATCGCCCGCCGGCCTCGCTCCCCGCACGCCGCCGTTCTCCGCACCTGCCCTCGCACCCGCGCTGTCGCCGTCGAGCGTCGCGGCCGCTCTCACCAAGCCGAGGGGAGCCAGTCGACCAGGGCGGTGGACTTGCCTTCCTCAAACGTTTTCTCCCGCCGGCCTCGCTCCTCGCGCGCCACCGTTCTCTGTCCTCTCCGTCGCACCCGCACCATCGCCCTCGCCCTCGTTCTTGGCATCACACGCCGTGGCCGCCCTCGCCGTTCTCCGCAGCGCCTCAGTTGGCTTGGGCGTTAGGACATTGATGTTTCTGATGCTTTGATAGTTAGATCATGTAGTATTTCATATGGACTTGGTGGTATTATTTGTCCCGTTGTAACGCACGGGCACTCAACTAACTTAGAGTCATCGTCGCTTGTAATAATAATATCTATGATTTTACTATTTCTATATATTGCTGATGCCGAATCTTGACACAAACACTTAAGTGGATACCTTATTCTATAGTATATGTCTGCGTGGAATAGATAAAGCCACACATATTTATACGGTGAGTACAACGTACTTTGTTTTAAGGTTTGGAGAGAGATTTTTCAAGACACGCAGTATTACCCATACGGTGGGCACTAATATTTACATATATACTCTAACCTGTGTACAAGATAGTACGGAGATGCGGCGAAACTTATTCGTGCATTTATTGGTGCATGAAAGAAATGAATATCGGAGATTTATTTCTACCGATACAAAATATTATCTTAGCCGCATCACGGAAAGGTCTATACAATAGGGTTTATGAGCCTGCGATGCCGCGCTCTACGTGATTGTGTTAATTTCATAAATTTTGTTTTTTGGATTAAATATCACTTTAACGTTGGCATTTAATTTTACAGTATTGTTATCTTATCGTGCGAGCCGTGTGCTTTTAGTAGTATAAAATGTTAGCTATCTCGTAGCAACGCACGAGGACGAACCTAGTATTATAATATGGCCATAAGGACCATGTCCATGGCATGGCATTTTGGTTCGGCCCAGGTATGATGCGGCCCGACGTGCCCGTGCCAGCCACGATCTGACGAATGGGCTGTGCCTAGGCCACAACCTCCACATGATATGCCAGCCTGGTACAACCGGATTACTAGTGGCTCGAGATGTAATATATAACCCTTTCAAATTCTAGGTCAACATTTCATATCCACGCACCATAACAATCGCCTATTGGTCCTTCCGCTTCCAGGATATTTAACTTTTTGCCACATTTACATTTGGCAAGGGCTCAAATGCTAGTTTTAGACGTGTCCCTAAGTTTTTGCCACCGCACCGACTAAAACTTCAACTATTTAGACATTTTGCACGCGTGGCTGCCCAAATCACCCGTCTAGCGTGGCAGGGGCCCTCGAAATGACCTCCCTGCCCCTGCCTTATCCTTTAGCTCAGCGGCCATTGTTCATCTTCCTCGTCCTGGACGCTACGGCCTCAGTTCTGGCCTACACCTACTCGTCGTCGCTGCAATCGTTCGCCAGGGCACTCATCCTGCCCACGCCCGCCAATGCCAAGCACATTGTGCACACGTCACCGCCGTCCGCGATCACCGCTGTGAGCGCCAGGGCGGCAGTGAGGACGTTGAGGACGCCGCGCTGAGCAAGGCGGATCACAATTTAAACTAAATTGCCATATACGTTAAGATCATGCATACATAAATTAGATCTTGAAAAAAAAAATATCTACAATTTTTCTTATTTATCTGCTAAGAGGAGGTTGCACAATACCTGATCGTACCAAAATTGTTCGGAACGACATCATTTCCGAATAAGCTATCTTTTACCTTGTTCATATGCAGTCGTTTGTTGATAGAAAGTGGTAATAGAGGCCAGAGGGAACTCTGCATGATCTTTCCAAACAGCCAGCCTAGTGAAAGTAGTGTTGTCAACTCAACCATATTTGTTGCCCGCGAGTCTTTTTATCGTTCCAGTGAAGGCTTGATCGAGCAGAGCACTTCATGCTCCGTTCGTTTAGGAATTCTCGCATGTTCATTAGTGGTCATTACAATTTCATCAGTTAGGGCTACCATCCGTTGATTAATCTCTGGAACGGTCATCCCATGATCATGATCTTATGCATCTAACTCACAATGTAGCTAGTTTCAAAAAAAAATCACAATGTAGCTAGTTTTAAAAAAATAAACTTACAATGTCGCTGCTGCAGGCAGGCCCTGGAATAGATGGGCCACAATCCATGAACGAGGCCTATCGACGGGCCTTAGTCTCAACTCAATCAATCAAAGACAATTTGCCACGTCCTGCCGTCCAAACAGCCTCGTCGCGTCACGGCGTCAGTGCTCGGTTCGCTCCAGATCAGATTCGCTCGGGCAGTTGGACCCGCAGGTCCACAAGACCACAGCAAATCAACCGCCTCCCACTGACACGTGAGCACTGGGATTTTGTGGACTCGCAACTCGCAAGAGCTCTCTCTCTTCTTTTTTTTTTTTTACGTTCGAATCCGACTCGAACTGCAATCCTGCTTGAACACACGCGTGAATCTGAGTTTGATCTGCATGCCGCTCGCTCGTTGTTCGGACTTGCTAGCGCCGGACGCTGCCGCGTAGAGTAAGTAAACGAGCAAATAGTGCGTCGGACAGGGAACCCACCACCAGAAGTAGGTCAGCACCGTCTCGGATATCGCCCACGCCGTCCCGAACGTCATTCGCGCCGTCGGGCACTTTCTACGCGTATCACATGTGCACCACCTGATCTAATTACGAAACATCCAAATGTAACAGTTGCAACATACGAAAGAAGACAAATGAAACACTTAATACAAGCATCTAAAACACTTGCGAAAGCCCCTGGAAAACATTTAAAAATCATTACAAACATATGCATCATCTAGATGAAACACTCGTAAACATATGTATGAAACAAAAACATTTGAAACATATGCTTGTAACATGCATGTATATGCAACATCCAGATCTACTTTTGCAACATCTAGATAAAACACTTGCAACATTCATTTAGAATAGATGAAACATTTGGAAAATATACTTAAAACATGTGTGTATAGCCATTACAACATGTGTAACATCCCGATCTACTTTTACAACATCTATAAACAACACTTGCAACATATACCTTTGAAATATCTGAAACACTTGAAAAATACTATTGTAATATGCTTTTCGTAGCATCTGCTTGCTGCCGTAACAAATGGAGACTCGTCGGTATGGAGCTCGATGCCGCGGAGTGAGCGGAGGTCGCTGGCGTGGAGCACGTCGGCAGCGCGGACCTCGACCGGGACAGAGGCAGACGGATGAAGTGCGACCGCGACGGAGTCCAAGCGGGGCACCTGGCGCGGGCGTGCGGCGGGGACACGAGCGGGGCCGCACGGCCGAGGCCGGGAGCAGAGGCGCGCAACGAGCAGGTGGCGTGGGCGAGGCGCACACCGAGCGGATGAGTTACACGGGGTCTGCTAGCAAAGCAATTACCGTATAAACACCGCACCCATGCCGCCAAAGCAATTCGTCGCAGCATTTGCCCACCGCTCGTGTCCATAGACTCTCCTGTCTCCACGCGCGTCTCTGTCACGACCGGCTCTCGCCGAGATCCTTCAGATGCACTAGCGAAGTAGCGATGGGGAAGCGGAAGTCGAGGACCTCCAAGCTGATGGCAGAGCCCAAGAAGGCACCGAAGCTGGGCACGGACTTCACCTGCCCGGAAGAGGAAGTCGAGGACCACCTGGGCGCCGTCCAGTGCGACATCTTCCTCAAGCAACGCCATCCGTTCGCCGTGGCGTCGAGCAGCGTCTGCGAGGAAGCCTACGCCACCTTGGCCCACGCGCTGACGGAGCCCATCGACGCTACAGCGAGTGGATCGACTCCTGCGAGGAAGCCAACCAGCGCGTCGTCGTGCGCCGGCCGCGCCTGGGCGACGCCGGCGACTAGGAAGACGACTCTGACAGAAATTTGGCAACAAAACCCTTTTTTTTTTAATAGGGAGGTTCAGGAGTAGAGTTGTATCCTCCTGATCATGCAGGGGACCTGACCCTGCTGAACAAAGGACTCGACAGAAGGAGATGAAAAAACACATCGTGTGATGCGTAAATAAAGGCAGCAAAATGGGAAAGATTGTTTTAAAGATCCACAACGGAACCATCATTTTCCACCCTGAACTTCCACTCATTTGCTGAAAATATCAAGAAAAGAAGAGAAGGATGATCTGTTTATAGCTTCAGCAAATCAGCACACAAATGATGCAACCATGATCTTTTGATGTGGCAGGTTCAAGGTACTGGTAAATCAGCAACATCTTGTCATCACCCAACAGGGATGAAGATGGTAACTAGAACCAATGTTTCCTTGCAAAATGGATCACCATTACTTCCACATAATGCTTTCAACAGTTTTTAAGTTCTGAAACTGAAAGGTCATTTCAAACCGCTACCGGTCAGTAGATTGCATCAAATCTAACCACCATTACAGAAGAGTAGCTGAGTTTTCTGAAACTATCTCAAGGGAAGATGACAGTCAATTCTCATGTCACTGTATATTTCAGGGGCAGCAAAGCTTAAACGCTTTCGGTTTCCGAAGTGATGAATTGCGAAGGTGTTAGAAGTTCTGCTCTCGTACTCTACGCTTCTGGCTGATCAAAACTGTGGGTACCTTAACTGCGCAGCAGCTGAATTGGAAGGAACAAGAAAAATAAATATGTAATTAGAGAGCAAATCATGGGTATTACAGCAGTGGCAACTAATCAAGGGAGGACAAAATGGATAACCGTAGACATTCAGCTCCAAGATATAAACTATATTGGCTATCATGCAGAACAAATGAATTATCTGAACTGGGGATCAGATTATTGGAACAACTGAATTTCTGAACTGACTACCATGGTATGAAATGGAGTCTGACAATTCGGATCAAGCTAAGAATCATTCAAGGACTCCTAAATCCTATGTGGCACTATGAATACTACAGAAATGAAAACGAGACTATTTCCATTCAAAAGCTTGTGGTTATCTACAAACTACAGCATGTTTCTTTAAATAAGTACATAATGTTTTTAACGTAAATTTACAGCATGTTTTAGATTACTCCTCACCAAACGATGTGGAGCATTACCTCAAGCACAACTTGACTAAAGTGTAAAACCCAGAAAAAGCAAGAAAAGGATAGCACAGGGAACAACTATGCAAAACTACAGGATTTCTCTGAACAACTGAGCTACGGAAAACAACAGGCAAGTAACATTTCCTGTTAGTGACTCAGTGTGACTGTGTGACAATATAATCTACTGAAAATCTATCATGCAGATTTTTTTTACTGTTCTCTTTGCATCACAAATTCAGAACTATAGAACTACCGTAAGCTATGGGCTATGTTGCAAAATTTGGAATCCACACTGCCATTACACGCTGAAAACTCTGTACACCTCACATGCTGAAATGGTGAGAAGCAGATAACAAGTGATGCACACACTACTGCGAAAGGTGCAGAGTTCTCACCTGGTGATCCGGTGGTATAGACGATGATTTCCATGGGATCTACGTTATTGGGCAGGTTTGTGACAAGCGGGATCACAAGCGCATTCCTGCCGGCTCGCACGCCCAACGTGATGTTCTCATCACCCTCAAGGTGCGCCACCTGGGTCCTCAGGTTGGACACGGAGTTGTCGTAGGAGACGAATTCAGGCCAGTGGTCATTAACATAGTTCCCATCATCGTTCAACCGCACATGCCGCATCCTCCGCCCCGGATGCGGATGCACGTCGTGCCCGGTGCGCCTCCTGAACAGGCCACGCCTTAAATGAATCTGTTGCAATGGAACACTTGTTTAATAACTGAATGAACAAGTCTGAATACACATTGTATTGAGAAAGAAATGTTCAGAGACAAAATTCTTTACGGATTTCTCAGAAATGTCAGAAAAAATACCATTGTGATCCGATAAAAAATGACCAAGATCAAATCCCTCAAATATACATCATGACAAAGAAATCCAATGGTTACTTCAGCTAAGACTTTACACATCATTGTTTAAAAAAAGAGTGAAATACACTGGTGGCCCTTTAATTTGTCGGCCTGTGCCAGTCCGGTCCACGAACTTGCAAACGCGGAAAATGAGCCCCTGAACTTGTCAAGTTGTTCACCGCAGGTCCATTTCCCATCCGGCGCGGCCTCCAGGCGACGTGGCAGCGCCAGCGTGGCGGACGAAGCGCGTGAGCCGCACGTTTCAATACCGAACGCGGCGGGGTGGCGCTACGTCCACACTGTTTGGTGGACCGGGAGGCGCGAGACGCAGCGGCGCCCATGGCTGGCAACGGTGAGCTCGGCGGGGTGGCGCTGTGGAGCGCTAGCGCCTGTGCGGGTTACACGGGGGTGGAGAGCGTGACGAGGCGAACTCGCCTAGGACATTCCCCGCAGCGGAGGACGTCCGGAGGCGGCTCGGCCGCAGCGGCGCAGCTCCGGCGAGCCAGAGTGACGCGCAGAGAGGGAGAGGAAGAGCGCGGGAGCACTGGAGGGTGCCTTAGCACGCCCCGATGCTCGTCGACAAGCTCGCGTCTGCCGGAAAGCGGCAGAGGAGGAGATCGACGGCGGCGGCGGCGCTGCTAGCTCGGGATGAGGCGGCGGTGCCTGTAGAGCGAGAGAGAGAGCACGGGGAGAAGCGGAGTGAGTGCGGAGTGCTCACGCGACACTCTGGGCACCATTTTAGAGGGAGAGAGACCGTGGGAGGAAAGGAAAGGCCGGCCAAGGAGTTCGGCTCCATGCCGACAATGGTGGATCTCTGACTCGGTGCTGCGGGACAAGCGGCTCGGGGTGAGGGGCTGCGGCGCATAGAAAGGGTCCGCGCGGGGTGCTCGGTCGTGCAGGGGACGCGGGAGAAGGGCGCGGCCAGGCATGGTCCAAGCGCTGCCGGCGACGGCGTTCGTCCCGTGCGGAGCGGGAGGTAGGGGGCGACCCTGACGTGAGGGGCCTACATTAAAACGTACGGCTCACGTGCTTCGTCCGCCACGCTGGCACTGCTACGTCACCTAGAGGCCGCGCCGGATGGAAAATGGACCTACGGTGAACAACTTGACAAGTTCATGGGCCCATTTTCGCGTTTGCAAGTTCGTGGACCGGACTGGCACAGGCCGACAAGTTAAAGGGCCGTGTATTTCACTCTTAAAAAAAAGACTTTACACATCATGAGTTTATGACAGAGCAATTCGTAAAGTCACCACAATCTAGAACAGACAACAATTTCTGTATGTGGTTGGAAATGGGAAGGTAAACATAATTATGTGATCAATAACTGCATCCTAAAGAACACCAAATGCAGAGGCGCATGAATACAAGAAACCGTAACTATATTGCTAACTAGGATCAATAACTTTTGAGAGACTGATCACCGTGAACTTGTGATGAGAAAGAATTAACAGGTTCAGTCTTCTTTCGGAAGAAGTGAAGAGTTTCAGTGAGTTCACACTGGGATATTAATATATTCTCTTTTTTTTTAAAGTAACAGTAAACGCCAGGATTGCGGCCAGGAGAATGCAACAATCAGATGGGGGGGGGGGGGGCGGTGTTGCTAAAATCGACGCGAAAAAGAAACATCCACGCTTAGAAGGTGTTCCAAGTAACCCGTTCGCGGGATGAACGCGAGGAGCCGAGGAGTTGAAAGGAGAAAGGAAGCCAAACTCACCGGAGGCTGAGGTGGAGGCGGAAGGGGCAGCGTCTCCGGGGTCGACGGGATGGCCTCGACCCTCCACTGCATCATCATGGTCTCGTCGCCGTTCCTGACATCGACGGTGACGAGGTTGTTCCAGTAGCAGTGCCTGCCGTTGGCGCGGAGGTAGCGCTGGACGTTTCGCAAGCGGACGTAGTTCTGGCCGGCTTCCACCCTAGCGGCCCTCCACATGAAGGGACGGTCCAGATTCATCGAGGTGTAGTCGCGTTGGACGGCGCGGACGCCGCGGTGGCCGGACGGTACAACCTCATCCTCGTGCGCGACCGCGAGGTACCGGCCGTAGGCGGCGCCCTGGAGGAGGAGGACGTTGCCCCCTTGGAGGGGCCAGAGGTCCGCCTTCCACACCGCGTTCAGGGAGGGGACGGCGCCGAGCGGGCGCAGGGAGACGCTGGTCGCATCCTCGTCGGCGTGGACGTACTTGTCCCGCGCGCGGCTCCGCAGCCGCGCGAAGCCCCCGTTGGGGAAGAGGTCCATCGCGGCAGCCGCCGGGCACCGGGTGGTGGTGGCGGCGGTGCGGCGAGCAGATGACCGGCGGGCTGTTTCGTGGAGGGGAAGGGGAGGGAGGTGTTCGTTGGGATGGGACGGTCACGTTTGGGCGTTCCACGCCAACTTCAAGGCGATATGCTTCTGGAGCTTTGGACTTTTGGGTCGGTTGCTCTCGGCCTCCTTCCACTGACATGTGGGACCATTGTTGGCCCCAAATACAACCGTCAAGGCTCCAACCAATCCAGTGATCCAGTCCAGCTGGCGAATATGCCTCGGCTGCTGCCCCAAGGAGTACCATGGTAGGGTTTTTTTAAATTATAAGTTACAACGTAGACGTCCACACCATGCACGCACACTCATCCTTATGGGAACACGTATGCAAACCCTATCTCTATGAGCACCTCCGAATGATTGAGCCGACAAATCTCGAGATTCACGAAGTCACCGCTGGCGCCTCGGTAGCTTGATGTGCCACAAACTGTTGGTATAGCCTAGTTGAACCCCAAAAGGATTAATATGATATAGATAATATGCGACTGTTGAATGGGTCCATGTGGTGGTGTTTTTTGAACTGATGAAGAGGAGAGAGCATTTGTATATGCTTCTACTTTGTGGAATGCAGACTACTTGTGCGGTTCTTATACAGAGCAATGAAAACAATGACTACTTGGGTAACCGTTGAGTGGTTGGCAGTTGTTTTGCAATGTCAAATATTATTTTAATCTCCATGAATCGGCTCATGTTTTTGAATGGATTCTCACAACATGCATGCACCAATGGTTCTCTAGTGGTCATGACTCATGAGTCGATTCATGGCCTACCACCTCATCCCATGAGTCAACATGCATGCACCAATGGTTCTCTAGTGGTCATGAGTAGAATTCATGGCCTGCCACCTCATCCCATGAGTCAGTTTTCATAAGCTACTAGAGAAGCCCTCAGCAAGGAGAGCACTGGGCCAATGGCTTGGGCCATAACTTTATAGTAACATAATCACAGTTCATACAGCCCTGGCCTGGGCAGCACACGGCCACACGAGCTTGTCGATCCCATCGGCCGACCGGAGTCTACCACCAGTGGCAGCAATGTGTTATTTCGCCGTCGAGCTTTTTACCTGGTTGGGCCGTTGCTTGTTTGACAGTTCTGTAGAGATTAGAGACCGTGGATCAACAAAACCGAAATGCAATGTTGTACCAGAGCCAACACCATGTTATTTCAGCCCTTCGCAGTTGCTGACACGATTGAGATTTTTTTAGGGAGTTTCAATTTTGACTGATTTGTTCTCTCATAATTTTCTCTCTCATGAAAAATGGACTTACTGTGATAAAAGAGACAAAAATCTGAGAGAATTTTGAATAAAGAGAACCAAGTATCTGCTTGGAGCCAGCACCGCTCCGTGGGCGACAACGACTCCAGTCATACTCAAGCCGTCATGGATACAGATCCTTTGTCGCCACCAGCTCTCCCCGCTACCGGAAACTTCAAATTTACAGAGTGTTTTTATGTTTGCCGAGTGCATTCCCTCGGGCACTCGGCAATCAAATCCTTTGTCGAGTGTTGTACTAAAAACACTCGGCAAAACAAAAACCCTCGGCAAATAGGGGGTTTGTCGAGTGTAAAAAAAAACACTCGGCAAAAATGAAAAACGAAAAAAAACACGCCGCATAAAAAATCCCCTCCCGTTCCCACCCTCTCCTCCCTCTCGCCACAGCTCGCTCCCTCCCCTCCCTTTGCCCCAGCTAGCTCCCTCCCCGGATCCCGCCGGCGGCCGGCCCCTCCCCTCCCTCTCTTCCCCGGCGCCGGCCCCTCCCTCTCCTTCCCCGACGCCGCCCTCTCTTCCCCGGCGGTCGGCCCCTCCCTCTCCTTCCCTGCCGCCCCCTCTCTCTCCCCGGATCCGGCCGCCGCGCCGCCCCTCCCCTCCAGATCCGGCCCCGCCGCCTCCCTCCCTCCCGGATTTTCCCGGATTCGGCCGCCGCGCCACCCCTCCCCTCCGGATCCGGCCCCGCCGCCTCCCACCACGCCCACCCACGATGCCCCACGCGCTCCTCCCGCCCCACCACGCTCCTCCTCCTGCGCCTCACCGCGCCATGGACACGGCGAGAGGCCCTCGGCCCGGTGGCCCGGCCACAGCAACCCCAGTGCGGCAAATACCGGCACAGACGGGTTCTGTGCAGCAACCCCGGCGTGGCGGCGGTGCGGATCTTGTGGCGTGGTGACCCCGACGAGGTAGGCCCTCCTCCTCCTGGATCTAGGGTTCCGACGAGCTTTTCTCCTCTCTCTCCCAACTCCGATCCAGTGCAGGGAGGACGGCGTAGGGAGGCCGACGGGACCGTGGGGAGGTGGCGTGGCTGCGTCGGGCGTCGCGGGGGAGGACGGCGCGGCTACGGGGAGGCGGCATGGGTGGTGGTGGAGGTGGTGGCATGGATGGAGGCGGAGGCATGGGTGGCGGTGGAGGTGGTGGCATGGGTGGTAACGGCATGGGTGGTGGTGGCGGAGCAGGAGGTGGCCTTGGTGGTGGTGGCGGAGCAGGCAGAGGAGGCGGGCTTGGTGGTGGCGGTGGTGGTGCTGGCGGAGCAGGAGGTGGCCTTGGTGGTGGTGGCGGCCGGTGGCTGGTGCTTGTTTTTTTTTCAAAAAATGTTTGCCGAGTGTTTTTGGGGCCGAGTGCCCAACAAAAAACACTCGGCAAAATAACGTTTGCCGTTAAACCGTTTGTCAAGTGTCGTTTGCTGAGTGTAACACTCGGCAAACGGTTTTGCCGAGTGTTTTGGGGGCTTTGCCGAGTGGCACTCGGCAAAGCTCCTGTATCCCGTAGTGCCCCATAGATCCTTTTCGCCCCAGCCTTCCCCACAGCTTGTCGACGCGCAAGACGAGCCCCCCCCACACACACACACACCTGTGTAGATCGAGATATCTCGCACACTGTTGACCCTGCCGCCACTGATCCATACTCACTGCCGGGAGCCTGACGATGACCTAATTGTTCTTGCCACGTCAATGCATGGAGGACGACTTGGATTGGAGATGGGATTCCTGCTGAATCAGGGATTCATCTCTTTTAGAGACTGCATATTCACTAAGCGCTTGCGGAGTGAGATTGTTGCATGACATGCAAACATGCATCTGCACCTAAGCGCCTAGCCACCTAGTGAGACGGTGGAGAAATGGTGGACTACGCCAAATGCTCCCTGGTCATCTTGAAAGGAATGCCAGGGTGTTTGAACATGCATAATGTACAAACTTCAGAGCGCTATAGAAAAAAAAAGATGAGGCGAGGCTGTGGATTATGGCAGGATCAAACCACCTCTCTTGTTGTGTGCATCATCACCCTCTCTCTGACAGTTAGCTCGCCCTTTACAATTCTTTTTCTTTGTTGTTGCACCTTAGAGGTGGTGTTGTTGGTTTCTAGGGTTGTATCGTGTCCTTTTGGTTTCCCTTCTTTTTAATACAACGGATAATCCTAAATGTGAGCTAATTATGGGCTAATAAGAGCTAATTGGTGGTTAGAGTCCATTAGCCCTTATTAGCCCATAATTAACTCATGTTTAATCCATTCTCACAAGGTGAGCTAATTTTTAGCCCTGGATCCAGACAGGCCAATAGTCAGGTCAGCACATTTCCCAGTTTGAATGTTTGATACTGCCGATAGCCTCGTCCTAAGTTTTGGAGCCCGCGCCTAGAGGCTGAGACGGCCGCCATGCGGTGTACCGTGTTGGGTTGTTCCGCTCGCCTCCCCCCAGCCCCACTGACACGTGGGGATGTACTGCAAATTTTGTGGACTCGTAAGCGCAGGTCGGACTCAGCTCGTTATTTCACTCGAACTCGAACCGTGGAACGCAAGCGTGAGTCGAGTCCGATCTGTCGCGTCGCTCGCTGCATATAAACACCACACCCATGCCGTCTCTGCTAGCAACGAAACTCGTCGCACCACTCCCTCGTGTCCGTCGTCTCTCCACGTCGATCTCTCTCGCGCGGCTCTCACCGAGATCAATCCGTCAGCAGCAGGCAGGCAGCACTAGCGATGGGGAAGAGGAAGTCGAGGACCTCCAAGCTGATGGCGGAGCCCAAGAAGAAGCCGAAGCTGGACACGGACTTCACCTGCCCCTTCTGCAACCATCCGGTTGCCGTCCAGTGCGACATCTTCTTTAAAGCACGCCGTCCGTTCGCCGTGGCGTCGTGCAGCGTCTGCAAGGAGACCTACGCCACCAAGGCCAACGCACTGACGGAGCCCATCGACGTCTACAGCGAGTGGATCGACTCCTGCGAGGAAGCCAACGAGGGCGTCGTCGTCCGCCGGCCGCGCTTGGGGGAAGCTAGGAACTAGAGGAGAAGACGATGATCTTGCTGAATCTGGGTTGAAGACTTTGTAGTTGTAGTTTCATGCATATGTGTTGTAGTTTTTACTGTTCTACCGGAGCCCGGAATTGCATTACCGGCCAGGAAGGAAGGATTCAGACATGTAACTGTTTTGACATGTTACATGAAGTTGTGGATTAGATTATTCCACCTAAATTGCAGAGAAAGAGAACACGAATTGTTATGACATGCTACTTCGGTTCATGTCGTCTTTTTTTTTGTTACTGTATTACCCAAACTCGGTTGACATGCACAGTGCAAATTTGTAGCCTAAGTGATGAGGTACGACCATAATGTCAGCTCGGTTTGTATTTATACAAAATAGAAAACACAGAAAAACACCTACAAACGAAACCTGCGACTGAACAGAGAAGCATAAAAACTCTGACGGGAATCCGACAATAGCATCTGACAGGGAGGTTGGGGAATGACTGAACAAGGGACTCCAATCCACACCTCAACTAGCGAGGCGGCAAGCCAGCAACCGCATACTGACATTAATATGAAAATCTAGCATCTAGTCTGCCATGAGTGTGAGGAACGGTATAATTTTTGACAACGCCTCCTGCAACCTCTCGGTTTGGAAGAGCAACTTCAAAGAGGAGCTTGGACTGGTGTGTACCAAAGCCAAGCCC